TTCGCCAAGAAGTTTACCAAAAAGTGGTGGTCAGCACCTTTTGTCCAGTAATGGTTTAAAATATCCAAATTTGAGAGGGTGAAGTGAGCGTTATGAACACCAGCAGGCTGACTACTAAGAGAAGCTGCACTGGTCAAAGCAGTTGAAAAGGCTGTCAAGTATATAACTGGAGAACTACAGTATGAACCGCAAATGTTCAAAGCAACAAAGCAGTTATTTTGTAACGCCAGATTTTTATTATCGAAAATTTGTAGTAGCAAAACGTGCGACAAATTTTACGGTAAAATGGGAAAAATTTGTGGTTGCAGAAAAAAATCGTAAAAAGAGGGGGCAGCGCACCATCAAAAAGAACAGGCTCTTGACTGACCAAACCAAGCTGCGCTCTCAAATTATCTGGATTCAGACGTTTCAAATTGAAACCATCCAATGTAATCTGAAAGAATGAAGAAGATGCTAGTAGTGCAATAAAAAACTTATGTGCAAGCAGTAATAAGCGGAACGCGCCCACACAAACACATACAAACAAACACATACACAAACAAAACACGCAAACAAGCACACACAAACACACACACGCAGGCAAACACGCACAAACAGCACGCGCACTGACAGTCGCACACGTGTAAACAAAAACACACACAAGAGAAACACACAAACAAACGCACACACACAAACAATCACATACACGCACGAGCAAGCACACACAAACAACCGCGTAAGCAAGCAAACACACAAACAAGTGCAGATAAAAGCAAACGCATCCACATAAACACACACACGCACCTGTTTAGGCGTTAACGTGTTTTGAATTTGCGCAAAAGGAGCACGGCGAGAATGACTTGCAGATTTCACAAGTATTGATTAACTGTGATACCAGGTCTACATGGCTACACTAAATCCTTTTTTCGACATCACTTTGAGATCGTGTCCAACTTTTTTATCACGTATACGCACCTGTTCCTCAGAATTGGCTTGATTGTTTCACAACACGTTCTAGCGTGTGGTACCTTTGCCACCCTCAAGACTTTTTACTCGGCGACCATCGATTGCCTAGCGGAATGGATAAATTGTTTTGCAATCTTTTTTTAGTTTTTACTGATATCGCGATGGCATATACTGCACTGCGCTGATCTGTTTAGGCGTCCGGTGGTCAACAAGAAAAAAAACAGACAACTGTAAAAATAAATCCTCACGTGACCACTTGTCGGATCATAGAAACGTAGCATCAGAGCAGTTAAAGTGCTTTTTCCAGAACCACTTGGGCCAACAATTGCAAGATGCTCACCCGCTGATACCGTAAATGAGACTCCTCGCAAAACCTAGAACAAACATTTTTCAGAAAAAGCCGAAATTTCATCAAAAACCTAAAAGGCGACATATTGCGTCTTTATAAATTACCGAAAAAAAAAAATCAGAAACATCCTCCGCATTTGCTTTCTATTTGAAATGGTGGCGCTACAGAAGTAGTCCAAACGGTAGCAAATACCAGCAGCAACCACCTTCTGGCAAGATTATTTCTGGATGCTTCTTTCGAAAGTTGTAGTAACAAGCTGCCAAACTCAGAATTCCTGACTTGTATTAGTACGATATAGTTACGGAAAAAAGCTGACGTTGGTTTTCTCACTACCCTTAGCGTGAAAAGCGTACCACCTGGCATCCAGTTGTCCACTGGTGGTCAGTTAGTGCCGGTTTCTCCATACCCATGAAAATCTCAATTTTGAATTGATTTAGTCAGAAAAAAATCAACGCTGCTTACCTCAATATCAGGTCTGCTCGGATAAGCAAAATGAATATCCTTGAA